CAAAATTAAGTATGTTATTTGAAAACAAGGCTTTTGATCTCTTTTATTATGAAATAAAATATACAAATTAAACTCCAACCATATGTTCCTGTCTAAAGAAACTATCATCATAAAATCAAACTTGAGAGTAAGAGAAGACTTTCTGTTCTCTTTTATTTTGAACAAAATCTTAAATCTGAGCCAAGCATAATCTTTTCAGTTCTAATTCTTTCACATTCAAAATAAGTTATTACAAAAAATATCTTTACATGTAAATGTTTGTTTTTAGAAACATGGCTTTCAAATTGTAGAGTAACAATAATAGTTTTCTGCAAACATATCCATTACTAAACAACAAAAAACATTATGTGCAATAGGTACTTCATAAGAAATGTACAATAAAGCCTATATTGTTTGCAATATGTGGAATGTGACAAACGTTTTGAATACAATATGCATCATTCTTGGTTGTTCATAGATTAGTGGTATTATATGCATGTTGACAGATGTGAAACTTTTTCAGGGAGAAATTGAAATTTTGTCTTTATACATCAAAAATATAAACACTGCTAATTCAACTTTTGAACAATATAAAATGACAACACAAAATATATGCATGAGAAGGTCACTAATCATGTATTTTTAATCACATTCCCCAATTTATATATGATAGACATAGTAATCAAGGTATAAAATATTATTGTTGTCAAGTCATATGCATGTTTTACTTGACAGCTATTTCTTATAAGGAATGATGTTATTATGAGACTGACATAAAGCAGCAAAAGATATAAAAACAAACCTAATATAGGTAAGTATTTTGGTATGGTGATTTTTTTAAATAACATAAACACATACTGTATTTATTCTATCTATAACCATGTAACAAAATATTAAAATTTGATGTCCCACTTGTGCATTATGAGACATTATGTGCCATGTTTTGAACTCTTCAAGTTGGAGAATTTGGAGAAAAATACAGCATCAGTTGTTTGGTGCTTCCTGAGTTGTGAATCTCTTTTCATAAGATTTCATAAAACATACAGTCTCATTACTAACCTATCAAATGTGTATAACCTTTATTTGTAAGTGCAAGAAGAAACATGATCATTATTAAATTTCAAAATGTTAAAAAGTGTCATGTTAGATCATGGTTTTAATATGTTCACCTTCTGTGATTACAAAACCAATAATACACATAACAAAATATAAATTGTTAATTGTAACCTGATGTCAGTGAAATGTGGAAGTATGTGTAACATGTAAATATATTACATTTAAGGTAATTATATAATTCTGTATCATTGTTAGTTGTGTAGTTCTGTAAACAATTATTTATCATCAGGAAAATGAGGGATGGTTCAAAGTATGTCATTAGTATCACAAACTAATATGCTCATACTTTTCAAAACATTAAGACTTTGACGGTGACTGTCTTCTGGGTTGTTGCGCTATGTAGTTTGGCAGACGTTTACCAACGTTTCAGAGGTCCTTGCTGCCTACATTATCAGGGCGATGATGGAGGCAGCATGGAGCTCTGAAATGTTGGTGAACTTCTACCAGACTACACAGAGCAACAACCCAGCAGACAGCCATCTTCAGACTCGCCACTGTGAAAACCTCAAATCCTGCTTATTAAGACTTTAATGATAGTTAATTGAGAAATTTGTGTTTCCATTCTCACGCGATGATGTGTTCTGATGGGCTGGTTTGCCAACATTTCAGATAAATTAGCAGTCTTCATCTTCATAACAATGCTGAGTTCTCTAAAAATGCAATGTAACTCACCAGAACATGGTGTCATTATACAAAAATTAAAACACAAGTCTTAATTTGCTCATGTTTGTGAAAATAATGTATTTTCTGCAGCATCTCTGGCTATATTGAAAACTACTCCAGAAATTCTCATAAGTAACATGTCTGAAGCTTATCAGTGTATTACATGCTGATTATATTGTCATGTACAGTTCATGGCAAGGATATTATAAAACTGAATAACAAATGCTGTCTTCTGTACACAAAAGAATTTGTCAGACAGAAATTAAAGTGATGTATTTTGATGGACTGAACTAACTACATGGTACAAAGGCTTTCCTGAAAACTTTTACTGGAAAAAATATATTATATTACTGTACTATACCTAATATTTCTACTAGTAAAAATGGAGATGGAATAGATCACTCAGTAATGTGACTGGTTATGGGCTGAACAACCAGAATTTGATTCCTGGTAGGGGCTGGTAGTTTTCTCACAACCACTATGTCTGGACTGGCTGTGTACAGCACCCAGCGTCCTATCCAGTGGTGTGGGTTCTTTCCTAAGGGTAAAGTGGTCAATGCTTGAAGCTGAACATTTTGTCCATCTAGTGCTGATGTAAAGAATGTGTGAATATTTACCTCTGACCTCCATATGTCTTTATGGCACAACATGAAACCTGGTCAATTTTAACTTTACATTCTCAGAATACTTTACTGGGTGAGTTGGCTCAAGTAGTATGTATCTGATTTATATTCAGAAGGTATCTGGTTTTAGTCTCAGCCAGAGTATTAGGTATTCTGGGTTTTTTCATAGTTTTACTCAGTTTTTCCAAGAGAATACTAGAAGAGAAACTTGAAACTGATCACAATCACTTCCTTCCCAATCCTTGACAATTAGAAAACATAAATCCTCCCATCAAATTCATTGCTAAACAAAAATAGCACATCATAGAAAAAAAGCAAAATATCTAATTTAGAAACAATCATTTCTTATTCTGAATATTTTTGTTATTTAATAGCCAGTGAAATGTAACCTGCATCATCGTTTAGTATTTTAAACTGATTATCTGTTGCTTTTGAACGATGGAAATTAAGAGTTACCATGCAAATATATAAATCTGAAAATACCGAAATGTAAAAGCAAAAGTAAAAATTCCTTTCAACAACAGAAATTATGAGTTGCCATAGAATATAAAAACACTAGATAAGTATCCATCAATAATGATGGAAAAATCTATTACTAATAACTGTTTCTTCAACTAACAAGTCTAAGAGACATTTAAATACATATTGTAAGCTATACATTGCATTCACTGATCAGTTTGTAATACAAAGTCAAGATCCTCTAAATCTATGAAATTCTGTTAATAATCAGTTTCTGATAAACAACTGAATCAGTAGAGAAAAAAGTGAATGATGTTTAAAACTTACATTAATGTATTTCACAAAGACTTGTGAAAAGTATATAACTTATACTACAATTTTCTCATTGTTTCATTAACAAAAAAGATAAGTAGACAAGAGGCAATAAATAAATCTTATGTAAAAAGATACATTTATATTTTACATTGCTTACAGCCAAACAGAAGCTTTTAAAATGATCACAACCAACACTTGTCTATTATATAGATAGATGAAAATACTGAAATATAGAAACAAAAATATGAATATTCCTAGCTTTTCAACAACAGAAATTCAGTTATCATGGAAATATAAAAACAAAGTTAATTTTAAATTACTGTACTTACCAAGACTATAGAGTTGGGATAGCTTTTAATATAGAAATCAGCTACAGGCTGAATGCCTGGGATGTTATTCCAGCACGGATAAAGACTTATTCTTCATTACTGCACCTGAACTGG